TAGGCTTCAATCCAATACAAATGGATACAAACAGGCAATGCTGATTCACAGAGCTGGAAGGGACATTCAATTTAGTGGTGCCCTGCCTCCCAGCTCCTTTCGAATGTAGTGTGTTACCGGCTGACATGCCACAGTTATCATGCTAATATTGTGAGGCAGACCTGGTTGGTCCTCTTATATTATTAGGAAAGCACAATAGTCAATGATGGGTTGGCCAACTGATTGTCAAAACACCATTTCTCACAAAAAGAAACCAGGAGTCCTTGGAGAAATGGCTGATTTTAGTGCTGGGATAGGAAACAGGTAAGATGAACCCAGAACATTCTATGGAAGCATTTTAAAGAAGCTTTCAGAGGCCAACAGGGTTATATCAAAAGGACACAGGAGTAGGAGTCACTTTGGGACGATTTCAGCTTTTTTTTTTATGCCTGTATTGGATTGAAATATTGAATATGTATGCAAATATATAGAATTAAAATTTTATGAATTCACAAGTATGCTCTGGAAATTTGTCATCGTTACAGATTGCTGGGGCACCGACTCATTATGCTGAAAATTGATGATGTGAAAGAGAAAGAATTAAGCATTAAAATAAGACTTGGTCCTATGCAACTTACTTAACCTCTCAGAATTTGTTTCCTTGTTTATAAAATAATAGTACTACTCTTGTCTACCTCTCAGGATTATTTTTGTGTGTGTGTGTGTGTGAGGATTAGATGAAATAGTAGCCTAGGAGATCCTAAGAAATTGCAACATACTGTATGCATGTAGGGATAGCTGCTATTACTTTGTGCACGCTTTTCCTAGTGAAACAAATCTCTCAGGATTAATAAACATCTATTTTTCTGAATTGATGTGATTATAAGACCCTGTAGAGTCCTTCAATACTCTCAGTCTCTGGTCCAAGAGCTTACCTACCTAAGGGATCGGTTGGAGATTCTCTATTTTGATGTGGTTTACTGTCTTCCCCATAAAATGTCTGTATGCTGGGTTATAATTATTTCAGTTCCACTCTTGCCAAGGATGGGGAGGGAGCCTCCCTTGGAGGTTCAGATAATGATCCAGGCTGCATATCCATATGCCCCCTGGGATCTCCTGCATAACAAGGTCCCTTATTATCACTGGAAGAAATCTTGGTCCTTACAAAAGAACCATTAGAAGACCCATGATGACGGGCAATCCAATGGTGACTTGTTATTTTGCCTTCCTACTTGAACCAAGAGGCTCCCCCAGGATTCCTGTATAACCAAGAAAGCACAGATCATGCACTCTCCCTTGTAGACGGGAGAATCCAGCTCTTACCATCCATGTGAAGCCTTCAAAGGCTTCAGAGATGTCCAAAGAGCCAAATGGACCCAAAGGACCATGACTGTACGGCCTGAGCCCTAAGTACCAGAAGAAAGCACTGAGGAGAGGAGAGCAATTAAGGAGTTGAATTTACTAGCAACTTATCTAAAAATTAGCAATTTTCTTTCATGACATCCCTGAGACAGAAATTTGGGCATTGTCTCACATCTCTCCTCCCTGGACCTGACCTGGGTATATAATCAGCCTCCACTAAGTGAGAAGGATATCCCGCTGTGTGTGGCCCAGCAATGAACTTCTTGGGATAGCCTGTCCCTAACTGCACAACCATCATGGTAGCTTCTAGACTATTTCTTGACTCCAAATCCCCACCTTGGCTTCCGTTCATCGGCCCCTGGGTGGCGCTGAGCCCAATCCAAAATTCTCCTCCAGAATTTTTCAAACTGTAGATGAAATAGCCCATTTCTTTAGTGGCAGGGATCATAGGAGAAAAGAATTGGCAAGGATCTAGGTTCTCCACCATCTTTGAGGAAAGGAAATTTAGTCGACCCCTCTGGAGAAACAGAGCCACAAAATGACTCCTGACGATGTTTGAGCCCCGACTCTCTCGGCTGCACCTCAGCCTCCCCGCGGTTTGACTGACAATACACCCTTGGTTTGGCAGTCATTTTCTCCTCCATGCTGTGTGGGTGGGAATTCTGTCACAACCAAGTGGGTCTGGATGAATATAGGACTCATCTCTCCCAGTTTCCTGGAACAGAAACAGAAATTCAGGAGCCAAGCAACCTTTCTGTCTCACCGCTGGAACATCTCTCAACTCCTGTCTGTCCACATCCCCCACGTCACTGCCAGAAAAACCACCCTAAAACATGCTCGTGTCTCTTCTCCAGCACCAGAGGGTCATGATCAACCTCTCCCTCCACACATTTATCATGACACATGCAGCACTGGAGTGTATCACTTTCTTCATATTTCTCCCCCACCCCTCACCGGAATGGAACACTCTCTCTCTCTCTCTCTCTCTCTCTCTCTCTCTCTCTCTCTCTCTCTTTTTAGTGCAATACCTTTAATTCGTTTATTCATCTTTAATGTGGTGCTGAGGATCGAATCCACAGCCTCACATGTGTGAAGCAAGCGCTCAGCCACGGAGCCACAACCCCAGCGCAATGGAACACTCTTCACAGCAGACACCATATCTTATTCGCCTGGGGTACCCAGTTCCCAGTGCCTGCCTGAAGTACTGTACTTACCCGGTGATGCTCACTGGCCTGTCTCTAAGTGAAGTTGTTATGGTATTTATTGGATTTGCCTTAAATTTCAGAAAAGGATGTCAATCTAGCCACCACCTAAGCAGAGCATCCAGACTTATGTAGGTTGCTGGAATGCTATTGTCTTGGGTATAGAAATGAACTAACAAGAAATTCACTGCCGACTTGAGTGTAGGAAGGATATAGAAGATGACGTTCACAGAAAGATGCAGGAGAAAAACTTCACTCTGGTCTCAATATCAGGCAAAAGTAGGATTATTTTTCCCTAGGCAAATGGTATGTATTTTTCTTTATCTTTCTTTCTTTTTTTCTTTTTTCTTTTTTTTTTTTTTGTACTGGGACCCAGTACAAAACTACTTAACTACTGGACCACATTCCCTACCATATATATATATATTTTTTTTTTCCATTTAGAGACAGGGTCTTACTGAGTTGCTTAGGACCCCACTAAGTTGCTGAGTCTGGTTTTGAATTTGTGATCCTCTCGTCTCTTACCTGGATGGGAGAAAGTTCTCGCCAAATTTCTAGCATACTTCTAGTGAATATACAGACCTTTATGGCATGTAATTTTGTGTACTTATTTCACACTGGTTTTTACCTTGCTTTTCTTCTCTATTGTTCATTTATCTGCATCTCCTCAGCCTCTCTTTTTAATGTTTTTATTAGTGCATTATAGTTATACACAATAGTGGGGTTCGTTTTGACATAGTCTAGCACACATGGAATATCATTTGCTCCATTTCAATTCCTAGTCCTTTCACTCTCCCCCGATCCCCCTCCCTCCATGCCACTAGTCTTCCTTCTATTTATGTATTATTTTTTAATTGGTGGTTTATAGATATACATAAAGGTGGAATCACTGTGGCATATTCATGTATATACACAGCATAACGTGGTGAATATCATTCTGCAGTTCCTCCCTCTTCCCATCCTCCTCCTTCCCCCTTGGTCTATATCCTCTTCCACACTGATCTCCTTTCCATTTTCATGGGATCCTCCCCCAACCTTACCCCACCCTCCACCAAGGAGCCAACCCAGCTTCCCATTAACCGATGAAAAGATAAAGACAATATGGTTACTTATACACCATGGAGCTGAACTCAGCCAGAAAGAAGAATGAAATTATGGCGTTTGCTGGTAAATGGATGGATCTGGAGGATATCATGCAAAGTAAAATAAGCCAGGCTCAAGAAGTCAAAGGTCAAATGTCTTCCCTCGTTTGCAGAAGCAGGAGCAAAATAAACCTCTTTTGTGGAAAAAAAAAAAAAAGAAAAATATTTTGATCCCATTTTTTGGTAACCACAATTACTTAGTAATGGGTTATGTCTGCCTGAGAGGCACTGTACAGGTTCTCAAACCCTGGAATCAGATTGGATGTGGTCCTCTTAATTTTCTCTTCTGCACTGATTTTTATACAGTGCGTGTATATATATATATATGTCAGACAGGTGCACATGAGTCTGTTTACTACGCACACGTTCCTAGTGAGAGCAATGGGGTAGGTTAAGCTGTCCTCACCAAGGATAAAAGGGAAGACCTGTAAGGGTCAGGTTTGCATCTGGTGAGTATGTGCCATGAGTTTTGTTTTAGCCAAACTCACTCCCTTTTGGAAAAGTAAAAAGTCCAGAAAGCCATTTTTTTCCCAACATCCACGTAAAACCATGAGAACAAAGCAAGTTCCCTGCCAATAACAGGGCCCCTTATAGTTTAGAATGTGCCTTAAACATGAAGGCCTGTAGCTTTCAAGTTAAATCAGCAAGCTCTGGGGAAAATTTTTTTTCCATATAATTGAGTATACAACTGTATACCTGATGCCCACTAGAAATAGTTTGTAAAGTTTTCTGATTTTAAAAATATGGGCAAGGTATGTTCACGGTATAAAACATATATGTATGTTTTTAGAAAAAATAATGGAAGAAAATGAAAGTCACCCATAAGATAGTCAACAACATTGTTTCAAGATGATTTCCAAATGATATAACATCTGGATAGACATTTAGTAGCTGCTAGCACACAGTAGGTACTCAGTAAAAGCCAGGAGTTGGGAGGATTTGCAATGGAATGGCCTCCAAGTGACCGGTTGGGTGTGGTTCCTTCGGCTCTACCACTCTGGTAAGCTTGAAGTTCAGATCCAGTTATGCCACAATAATTGAGCATGCCAATGTCCTGGGCTACTTGATAATCATGTCCAGAGGCTTGAGTAATAGGCCACTTGAGAAGTATGGATCTCAATATCATCAGCTGCAAGAATGAGAATAATCCCTTAATGTTCTGGAGCTTAGCCATTGTTGGGCACTGAACTGTGAGAGTCGGCTGCTCCTGTATTTCCTTTCTCCCCTCCCAGCTGGGTCTTATAAGCTGCTGTCCCTTTAACCACAGGTTAGCCACGAAACAAAAACTCTCCTCCCACAGGATTAGGAGCCTCCCAACTGCACACCAGAGACTTGGGGCCACAATGGCATAGACATCACCAAAAGAGAAGGAAGGATCCAGTATTCTGGCAGATACAGAGCTGAGTCTTTGCAAAGGAGCTGAAGTCCTTTCTGGATTAATAATACCATTTTTCAGGTAAGGTCATATGCCTGTGTTTACACGGAGGCAACACTAATAAATGCAAAGTTGTGAAAGTGTATTTAAATCTATAGCACAGGAGGCGCATTGTCTTGCCATGATTGGATCACTGCAGACCCAACCCCAAGTCTTCTCCGTTCGATAGAAAAATGGACTGTTCTACCTGATCAAAGTTGGTAGAAGTAGAGCAAAAATTCTGGGATAGCATTTCCTTGCATTGGCTATGGAGAGAACAAAGGGGGACTGGAACCGCAGCTGCCTGCACATATGAACGACTTTTGGTAAATTACTTTGCCTCTCAGGGCCTCTGGTATCTGACGCATGAAATAGTAAATTGTGTGTAGATGAAATTCTTGCATCCTAGGGCCAATGATAAAATGAAGCAAGATATTACATGAAAGTCCTTAATATGAGAGTCCACCAAGTGCTTGATAATTTTTTTTTTCACCGTATGGTTTCTCTGAACACTGAAGAAGTCACTAAGAGTGACATCACCCTTTGGATGTCACTTACTTCAACTCTCTCACTTTTCCAGAAATTTTCTGGAGATATTTTGTTAAACATATTTCTATACAAATTTCTACAAAGATAATGTGTTGAGGTAACATAGTCCGAGACCCTCAGATTTGACCGTGGAGTCGTAAACACTTGTCACAGACTCCCAAGTCAGGAAATGGCGGTGTTTGATGCAAAATGGCGGCTCCTGAGGGTTTTGCTGTGTCTTTAAAGGCCTATCTTGAACCAAATCTATTCTGAAAGTCAAAGGCAAACCAAAGAGATAGAAAATAAGGAATGTTATTAGCAAAAAAAATTTTTAAGTTTTTAAAACTTGAAAAATCCTATTTTGTAATATCTTGTTTTGTATTTTTTCATGAACTAATGATTGAGTTTGCCTAATCCACTTTGCCAATGCACAGAACGCAGGCAATGATGAAATGTATATTATTTACAATACGTGGTTTCAGATTTGTTGGTATGCTAATGTGGTCATTTATTAAGAGAAGGAAAATCTTTTCAGGAGGTCTGGGCAATAAATAATTCGTGAAATGACATCCTTTTTTCAATTCAGAGGAGAAAATGGAGAACAGATGTGTATTAAAAGCTATTTAGCAATTAAAAGCTATTTGCTAAGTTCTCTTCACTATTCGCTGCAGGAAGCAAAAGTATGGAAGGTGCCCTGTGACTTAAAAGTCTTTCCAGTGCATCATTTAACTGAGACCAGGAAAGGTTTAAACAATGGAAGTGAAGGGCTGAGACTGAAGGGGACAGATGTCAGCACGGTGCCTAGCAACACGGCATTAAAACAGGGATGAAGAAACGTTAGCCCAGTCCAATGGCTTTTCTCCTTTTTTTTATCTTTGTATGGCAAGTAGCCTTCCGCCATAAATGGTGTTGAGGTTTGGGTTTTAATACACAGCATGTGCACCAGACATAGGAAGAGGTATTCACTTAAACCCCACCGGTAGCCAGCGGAGAAGGTATTGTCTTTACGTTCTTTGCTCATCGCACAGATGAAAAAGAGAGTTGGAGAGCAACTTGGCAAAGATCCCTGAGAGGGACAATTACGGATTCAAGTGTGTATGGGTTTGTTGCATTAGGAGGAGAATACAGGGGTCTCACTCCTGGTAGGATTCTAAATCATGAGCACGGCCCACTCTGTTTCCTCTTACCCTCTTTTCTCTGCTTGTGATACCTCCACCACACTCCCAGAAAGTTGCCCTCTTTCTACCTGACATAAGAGAGTTTACTACTGACAGTACTGCCAGACATAGCTCTTCTTGGCTAGAGCAAGTTGCTTTTGCCCCAAACACATTTGTCCAGATATCACTCTGAGCACCAAAGAGGGCTTAGCAGTAACGATGAGAGGATGCTCTGTTGTTCTGTTGTTCTGTTCTTATGCCTGTGCCCAGGCCCAGGAGCCCTCTGCACCAGCAGATTCTTCCACTCCATGCAAATCAACTGCATGGAACCGAAGGGCAGAGGGTGAGGCTGTTCGGCACCTACAAGAAGCCTTTACTGGACAAGGCAGTACAAAGGAGACTTAACCAGCAAAGAAAAACCAAGCTCTGAAGCCAAAGCACAGAGCTTCAAACGTTGCCTCTGCCACCGTGAGCTGGATGACCTTGGGCAAGTTCATTAAGTCCACATGAGCCTCAGGGTCTTCATCCACAAAATGTAAATAACTGTAGCACCAGCCTCGAGCTTCTCACGCATGTTGAATGGTACCAGGAAAGCAGAGTGTCCGGCCTGTAGCAATAACTTCATAAACACTGGCTTCTACAATTGGCTATAAGTCAGGTGTAGTCAAAGAATGCAATTCATAGCTTCTACCCACACCATCTAGGTAGATTAGGGAGACATAGATAAAAATGATAATTAAGAGTACCAGATAGGGGGCTGGGGTTGTGGCTCAGTGGTAGAGCACTTGCCTTGCACGTGTGAAGAGCTGGGTTCCATCTTCGGCACCACATAAAAATAAATAAAAGTATTGTGTCCATCTACAACTAAAAAACATTAAAAAAAAAAAATAGAGAGTACCAGGTAGACAACTGTCACATGAGTGGTACAGATGGGAGATATGAAAATTCAAAAGAAGTGATTATAGAATTAGTAAAAATAGATTAGATTGCAGATGGGAGTCTGGAAACAATAGTGACTACCAATGTCACCAAGCTAGTTTTGACATAGATGAGAGTGAAATCCAGAACTCCTGATGAATACAGTAGGGCTCTCCAGGAAACTGCACTACATACAACAGCGCTCCTGGAGACGATCTTTACAGTGTCAGTAGTTACCAACTGAATGCATTCGTATAAGCGAGGTATTTACACATTTTCTTGTTAAATAATCCTAGGAGGAAGGTAAATAATATTTCCCTGTTTTACAGATGAGAACGTGGAAGTTAGAGAAGATAAGTAATTTGCCCCCAAATCAGTTACCGATTGTAATGGGAACTTGAGGGAAAAGGAGAACAGGGTAGCCAGAATCAAGGTCCATGGCAGGCCAACTCTGAGTGGTAGAAATGGACATTCATGAAGAGTTTACTGGAGGAGGACACAGGATCAGAACAGCACACATGGCAGATAGATTGACAATGTCAATCCCGGCAGCAAGTATTCTATCTGCTTTTGGTTTTGTTTGGCAGAAAGTAGGAACCAACCTGGTCACAGGCAGATGGAAGAAGGAGAGTCCAGTGATAGGGGACCCATCAGTCTCTAATGGCTACAGCTCTGAAGAAGGATGGAGTGTTCTTTGGGGACTCCTCAATGTGCCAGGGGCACATGACCACTGAGCCATATCCCCAGCCCTATTTTTTATTTTATTAGAAACAGGGCCTCACTGATTTGCTTAGCATCTGGCTTTTGCTAAGGCTGGCTTTGAACTTGCAGTCTTCCTGCCTCAGCCTCCCAAGCCACTGGGTGCATTTTTCTTCTTGAATACTTTTTTTACAGCTTTTTTTTTTTTTTTTTTTTTTTTTTACAGCTGACACTCTCTACCTGTCTCTCCCCACAGGCTGGGATACTTCTGTGTCCCCATCCGTAGACAAAGTCCTTTGGAGACCATGAAGATTCTTCTCCACTGCCGGACGTTTCGACTCACCTGGCTGACCAAGCTCTCTGGCCGCCACTTTCATGGCAATCACCAGATTCGGGCGCCTCTGACTACTGCTGACTTTGAAGCCATAAATCTCTGTGACAAGTCGGTGCCTAAGAACTTTAACTTTGCTGGGGATGTGCTGGACCAGTGGTCTCTAAAGGAGCAGGTGTGAGATGATGGCTTCTGTCTTCCATTTCCTTGCCCAGGGGTCCTCTCGTCCATTTCATTTCGGTCCTTTAACCTGCTCAGGTTTCCTGGGTCTTCCGATGGCTGTCCCCTGTCCCCTGAGGTCTCAGGCCCTCACCTCTATCAGGCTTTCTCTGGAGCCTGCCTGGGCCCTTCCCTCCTCCCACTCACACATATCAGGGTTGCTCAGAGTTATTTAGGCTTCCTTCCCTCTTTTTTATCCAAGTCCCATGTAAACAGGTCCTTGGGTTCAGGATAGTCACAGGCTTAAGTGAACATGTAGTAACTTGAGCTGTGGTTTCATGGATATAGTTATTACTGGAATAACTAGGGGAGGATCCGAGGTGGAGACGAATAACTCACACATGCCTCACAGAGGGCTTGCACTGCGTCTGGGGACAAGGGCCCTGCTTTCTGACCCCACCCCACGCCAGGCACCCCAAGAAACACTTCGTGTATCAGCGCTTAGCCAAATGCTCGGCCCCGTGGTCCAGAAGATGATGCCAGGTACCAGATCCACAAGGCATTCAATAATTAAATAATTAAATTAGTCCTTCTTATTAGTTAATTGAAGCGGGAAAGTCTTCCTTGAAATCTTGGTCATTGTGTCTTTTAACACTTAATTCTTGCTAGATTCTCTTTTAAGCAGAGAGAGCAGGTAGCATTTGACTATCTTTAGGTTAGAATTTAAGGGCATATTTTGGCTTTCACTACAGATATTCCTGAAATCTATTTTTATTTTAATTTTTTTTTGTGGAACTGAGGATTAAACCCAGGGCACTTTATCACTGAGCTACATCCCCAGCCCTTTTTTATTTTCTATTTTGAGAAAAGGTCTCACTAAATTTTCAAGTTGTCCTCCAAATTGTAATCCTCCTGCTTCAGCCTCCAGAGTTCCTAGGATTATAGGTATGTGCCACTATGCTCGGCTCTGTTACCTATTTTTAGCAAGTGGTGCTGATTAAATGCATTATTATTATTATTATTATTATTATTATTCTCCTTCTTCTCCTTCTCCTTCTCCTTCTTCTTCTTTGTAATGGTGATTAAACCCAGGGGCACTTGACTACTGAGCCACATCCCCAGCCCTATTTTGTATTTTATTAGAGACAGGGCCTCACTGAGTTGCTTAGCACCTGGCTTTTGCTAAGGCTGGCTTTGAACTTGCAGTCTTCCTGCCTCAGCCTCCCAAGCCACTGGGTGCATTTTTCTTCTTGAATAAATGTATACAGGTGAATCTGTGTAAATACAAATATAAAGAACAATAGTGCGGGTGTAGGCACATCTGGTGGGAAGAAACCATACTCAAATGAATCCGATTGGGAAATACTGACCTATATTATTTCATCAAATCCCCATAACCACCCTGGGGGAGGAGGGGTTCAGATAAGGAACTTAAGCATAGAAGTTAAGCTACTTATCCAAGGTCACACAGCCTCAAAGCATGGGCCACATCCCCGATCTTACGTAACACTGTATAGTACAACAGAGTCAGCTAGAATATGGGCACAGTGCTGAGGAACAGAGAAGTCATGAGGAAAAGAAGAGGAAGCTAAGAAAGGCTCACCGATGAAGGGAAAGGAAAACTGGGCTTTGAGATATTTTCCAACCTAGGAAAATGGAAAAAAAAAACATTCCGGAGAGTGGGGAGAGGGAGGACATTTTCTTTTTCTGGTGATACATAAAGCAAAGATGTCTTTCAGCACAGATGACTTACTTTGTGGAATGATGGGTACGATGTTTCCTCCAGAAATCAGTCAGCTGATGCCCACCTCCACCCTGCTCCTGGTGACCTATGAAACCCACGCCTCTGCCTCTGGGAACCCAAGGGTGCCAGGGTCCTGATCAAAGGAACGTGGGAGGGCTTACCAAACTGGGGTGGGAGATGGAGAAGCAGCGTCAGTGAGGATAGAAACCAGGACAGCTCCCTGGGACACAGAAGTACCAAGGACCCAGAGCCGGGTTCTGGGTTCCAACCATTTTCTCTTTGGGTTCGTCTCCGAAAACTAAAATATTCACATGGAGGAAAGATCTGATTGGCCCAACTTTGGTCACATTCCCACCCCCTGTTCAGAGAAGGGCAAGTGCCCTGATGGGCTGTCTCACCAAGGCTGTGTTCTGTAGGAGAGGAGCAGTCCCCCCAGAGATAAACTGACCTGCTGTTACTAAAATGCAAGGGAAGGGTGTTGAGGAGGAGTAACAGCAGATGTCCCATATGTCTGGTAACCAGTCCTATAAGCCTTGTTAGTCAGCTTTCTGTAGCTATGACAAAATGTCTGAGATGAACAACTTAAAAGGAGGAAAGGTTTATTTTGGCTCACAGTTTTAGTCAATGACAACTTGACCCTGTTGTTTTGGGGCTATGGCACCACGGTGCATTGTGACAGGAGCATATGGTGGAGGAGGCCTGTTCACCTCAGGGCAGCTGGGAAGCAAAAGGGGTGAGAGAGAGGAAGGAGCCACGGTGCCAATACCTCTCTAAGGGCACGCCCCCAATGACTCAACTGCCTCCCATTAGGCCCCGCCTCCCAGAGTTTCCACTACTTCCCAGTAGCACCACCAGCTGGGGACCAAGCCTTTATCTAACAGATGACATTTCCAAACCACAGCATTTTCTCTTCTCTTTCCTATGTCTCTGGCCAGACAGGGGAGACACCAGCCAACCCAGCCCTGTGGTGGGTGAATGGCCAAGGGGACGAGGTGAAATGGAGCTTTAGAGAACTGGGCTCCTTGTCCCGAAAGGCAGCCAATGTGCTCACCAAGCCCTGTGGCCTCCAGAGAGGAGACCGAGTGGCCGTGATCCTGCCCCGGATCCCCGAATGGTGGCTCATCAATGTGGCTTGCATTCGAACAGGTGAGTGTCAACATGTCACATTTGTCCATCATGCAGAGACACACAGAGATTAAAACCTGAGCCTTTTCTAAAATGTTAGCGTTGGATAAACCTGTGCTTACCGAGGACAGGAAGAGAAGGGTTGAAATTAAGAGCAAACATAATGCAATACCAACTACCTGAAGAAGTCAGTATTCCAGTGATAATCTTTTTGTAGGAGATTCTCAGAGAGGCTAAGGAGTTTGCCCAGAGTCACAGAGCTAGAAAGTCAAGCCGTTAGGATTTAAATGCAAAGCTCCATAGGAGCCAATGTGGGTACCAATGCTTCTTTGCATTTCTGGATTATGACATGTTCAGCCTGATGATATATAATTTTCTTCTCTGAATATATTTGGATGCTCTCTGATGTGAAAATACAAAAAATAAAAATAAAAAATAAATAAAAAGCATTTTATAATGTTAGGACTTATAAATATATGTATTGTAGACAGATCTCAGTTGAAAAACCTCTACCTTTTCCTGACAAAAAGATTAATATATTCAGTTATACATTTTTTTCTCCCAAAATGATAACATAATGTACCCCAAATGAAAATTTCTCCTTTAGGGCAGGAATCAGCATACCAGAGCCTGCAGTTGGCCACCAGTTTATGTAAATCAAGCTGTAATGGGATCCAGCCATGCTCATCATGTATGTGTTATCTATGGCTCCATTCCTTCTATAGCATCAGAGGTGCTAATTAAGACCAAGATTGATCATGTGGCCCCACAACACCTAACAGTCACTAGCTGGCCTTTTATTGCCCCCCCTCCCAAATTTTGCCAATCTCTGCTCTGAAATACAACATAAATCTTTATAAACAAATTAAAAATAAGCTAGAGGAGGTGGAAAGTGCTGGGAGTAATATTGACCAAATCACATTGCTATGTGGTTTGCATGTATGAATCTGAAAGCACAAATTCCATTGATATGCACCACTATAATGCACCAATTTTAAAAATTCAGAAATAATAAATCATTAAGCATACCAAAGGATGCTACCATAGAGAAGACAAAGATGCTTTGTTGCAATAGCATTAACAATAGTAAAAACAAATTGAAATGATTACATAAATTATAACTTAGCCAAGATGGAAGGTGAGATGTGTTTACTGTTGATTGAAATTCTGGCACCTCCACTTCATGGGCTATCACTTGAAGGATAATTTATAATAAGGAGAAGATAGTAATGATGCTAATATGATAGTAAGATTTTTATAATAATATTGAAAAATGCTCTGACTGCCAATATGAATATGAATTAAAGCAGCAATATATCAAATTATTTTTACATTCACTATTGAAAAATGACTTGCTAATGTGAAACTAATCATAGGTTGGGAGAAGAGTAAAGGTTGTCTACTTGTCCTAAAAAAATAAACACTTAATATTATTTGGAACAACTACAAATTATGAAATGCTGACGGAAATAAACACAATGCTCAAAAGCACTCAGTTAATTCAACGTAAAGCAAGCAGCTGAGGAATCTGTTTTCTAATTCAGAATTAACAAAAATTCTCTGTGAATACTGAGATTGATCATATTGTAACACGTGGCAGAACAGTTTGGTTTTGCTGAAAAGCTGCATGCAGTACAGCCCAAGATATTTGTTATCTGTTGAATACTTACTATCTGAAATTACTCCAGTCCCTCTGAAATAGAAGTTTATCCTTTGGACACATTCACATCACAAATCCAGGGGATCAGTTATTTGAGATTCATTAAGAACAAGTGGTTTGTAAGATAAAGAATGGTATGTTTTTTAAATTGGGTGAATGTTCTGAGATCCTCTAGGGTGTTTCTTTAATCAACTTCCTTATATTGACATATTTATTCATTTTCTCATAAGAGTTTTTAAAATATATTCAATAAAATACGGTCTTCTCCCTGGGAATTCACGTCTCCCTGTTTAGCTAACTTGGGGAAATTCATCAAGAAATGAGCAGTCTGGTATACCGCATACACCTTGGAAGTCTGGGTAATGTATCTTTGCACCCTGACTCTGACGCTGATTCAGCAACCCTTGAGTGACTTGTCACACTGGGGTTAATTTTAAGTGTGATCCTAAGCACATTGTAAGTGCTCCATAAAAGATAGAGGGTATCCATGATGCTTCACATAATGCCACTTTTTTCCCTCAGACTCGCTTTAGAAGGTGCAACTGCCTCCTCTCTTTCTTACATCCAGTTCTGCCACATATGTTCTTCTCATCAGGAACTGGTACTTTGAGGCCTACGTCCAATCAGTGTTTAGGATAAAGTGAGGAAATGGTATAAATGAAGCGGTGCCATAGTAGTCTAGGTAAATTTCAGTGATGCTAAGCCACGGGGACCCAGAGACCTGAGACCTTTTGCCTCTGCCACTCACCAGCTGTGATCAGGTTTCATCTCCATCAAATGGTCACGACTGCATGAACCTCCCAGGATTGCTTAGAACGGTGGTCTCCAGGTATCTGGGGTTGTATATTCTATCAATAAAAATATTTAGGACATGCCTCTTGCCATTTGGTTATAGTTTTTTTTTAATATTGTTCTACTGCACTAATAGAGTATGCATATTATAAAATACATACACAAAAAGGAAATAGGAGTCAGGTGCAGTGGCACACACCCATAATCCCAGCAACTCAGGAGGCTGAGGCAGGAGGATCGAGGGTTCAAAGCCAGCCTCAACAATTTAGCAAGGCACTTAGCAACTCAGTGAGACTCTGTCTCTAAATAAAATACAAAAAAGGGCTGCGGATGTGACTCGGTGGTTAAGTGCCCCTGGTTTCAATCCCCAGTATCAAAGAGAGAGAGAGAGAGAGAGAGAGAGAGAGAGAGAGAGAGAGAGAGAGAGAGAGAAATTGGGGCTGGGGTTGTAGCTCTGTGGTAGAGTGCTTGCCTAGCATGCGTGGGGCACTGGGTTCAGTCCTCAGCACCACATAGATAAATAAAATAAAAGCCAAAAAAAGGACATAAAATCACAAAATGTATTATAGTATCTCAATTTTTTTTAAGTTCTGTTATTTTCTTTTCTCCTTCCTATGGGATTATCTTGAAAATCTCACAATCTCACTTTGGAGACTCTTGGTTCAGAGGACTGAATATGATGATGTTCATGAAAACCTGAAGTAAGACGGCCAGTGCTACTTAGGGTGTCACTGAGATGAGTCCACCATTACCACTAAGATGTCACATCAGCACCCACCATTACAATGTCTCCCATATGCCGGGTGCTACCATTATCCCTATTTCACAGATAAAGAAAGGAAGGCCGAGAGATCAAGGCCACAAAGCTAGCAAATGACAAGACAGAGATTAGACCTGGAGTCTCTCAGTCCCCAGAGCCATAATGAACTTCCAGTGACCAGGGTCCTGTGGGAGGGCCCTAGGACCAAGGCAGGAGGAAGTGAAGGCTGGATTGTGAGACTCCTCCAGGCTCAGGCACAATGCCCAAGGTCCACGGAGGGCCCACGTAGTGGACAACAGTTCTTTGGAGCTCGGGACCTTCTATCCTTCCCAGGGCTTGTCTTCATGCCGGGAACTACCCAGCTGACAGCAAGAGACATCCTCTACCGGCTGCAAGTATCCGAGGCCAAGGGCATTGTGGTCAGTGAGGAGGTGGCCCCCGCAGTAGAATCCATCGTGTCGGAGTGTCCTAACCTGAAGACCAAACTCCTGGTGTCTCCACACAGCCGGGAAGGGTGGCTCAGCTTCCACCAGTTATTCCAGTGAGTATTTTCCCCTGGTCCGTCTGTAGCACCAGTAAGAGCACAAATCACGGCTACATCTTGGAATCTGTCTCCAAGGACTCAGCAACACTGAGTTGATCTGGGTTCCTTCTAGAAAAGAATTACCTATTAAAGGATTAGCAGGCAGTAGGAAGCAATATAGCCTTCTGGCCTCCATGTTCCTTCTTCTTTCTGTGGCCAACAATGAGTATCCTACATAGCTTGGCCCTTGCTTAACCTCTGGACCACATCCGTTATCTCACTTCCTTTTATTCCTCAAACATGTCCTACCTCAGGGCCTTTATACCTGCTCTTTCTTCTTCCTGGGATGCTCTTCCCTCGTTCTTTTTACCATTGGCTTATTGCTGTCTGATTTCAGCTCAAATGTTTTATCCTAAGTGGGGCTTTCCCGTACCAAACTAGCCAAAGCAGAGCTACAGGCCACTTCATCACATCACTCTCTTGTTTTCTTCATAGCATTTGTTACTACCTGAGTTCCAAGGTTCATTCACTTATTTCCCCTATTTTTTCTCTTTTGGAGTAGGAATCAGCATATGAGAACCCACAGGCCAAATCTGGCCCACCACTTGTTTTTGTAAATAAAGTTTTATTGGAAGGCAGCCATGCCCATTTGTTTACATATTGTCTATGGCTGCTTTTGTATTACCACTGCAACGTTGAGTAGAAGCAACAGAGACTCTCTGGTCCACAAAGCTTAAGATATCTGCTATCTGGTCCTTTATAGGAAAGGTTCGTCAACACCTGCCCTAACTAACAAGCTCTAAAGCTCTAAGAAAGCAGAGGCTTCCTTTATCTGTTTGGTTGATCACTTGATCACTTTATCTCCACTACCTAACAACACATAGCAGGTCCTTAAGAAATATTTTGTGAATGAATGAATGAACAAAACAGATCACTTAACTTCAGTTTTCTTCTTGAAGGATTCAAGTAGAATGGAGGATTCTACTGCATATATCTTAAGTGGTATTTTGAGGATAAAAAAAAAGCTAATATGTGAGAAAGTCCTTTCTGAGCTGTAAAAGATGTAGGTAAAAGGTTAATTAATAATATTATCCTTCAAAGAAGTGTTCAATAAGTTATGTTTTTGTTCTTTTTTTATTTGAAAATCAACAAAGTTTGATATCAACATTCCCTTAATCTAAATTACTGATTCACTTGGATGACATATAATAAATAAAGGTTTTCAAAAGCCTTTCCCAGAGAAGTATACAGAAAGAAAAGACATGTAAACGTTGTTGGATACCAGATCAGTTCCCTTGGTTGGAATTAAATTTTACTCTATCAATTAATGAGAACCAAATCCTGTTGGCTGATTGCAAAATTCTCTCCCAAGGGTTCACATCGGTGTCCTGTGTGTTATAAGCTGTATAAACTTAGATATCTAAGTCCAATAATCTTTCTGAAAGTCTGTACCTTACCCATTAAATGTGGATAACAATAGTATTGAGCCGGGTTTTATTAAAGGAAGATAAATTTCCTTTATTTATCTTGATGATCAGATGCAATAAAGCAGGAGATATGTTAGCACAATGCCCTTGCACAAAACGAGCACTCCATAAATACTGTTGTAATTATAATCGCACTATCATTTTCAAATTCCACATGTATTGATTCCTAAGGTTAGGGACATCCAGGTTATTTGCCTATGTATTTCCATTGGTAAAAGGCTTTTTAACACACTACCCAAAACATGTATTTATTTTAAAATTATACACATATATTTTTGTGCATTATACAAATACCAAAATTAAAAATCTTAAAGAATGAGGTTTTTTTTTTTTAAAAAAAAAAAATCCACACCTTGAAGTTCTCCTATTTCTTTTCCATCCCAGTTATCTTGCACACTCTATGAACAGCAACCCCACCCCACTTCAGAGATGGTCTCCCCATCCTAAACAACTCTTGAGTGAGTCTCCAAGAAAGCTTAAAAATGGCATAAAACTCACAAAAGGAAAAAATGAATTACATGAATTTCAAACTGAAACTCTGTACATTTGGAGGGCAGTTTTCGAGATGGAGGGAATCCCCACTTCAAACAACTTTGGAATGTCATAACTCCAAAAAGACCATGGATTGTTCCTCTACAAACTGAGGTCGGGATAGTTATGGCCAAGTCAGCCAGTTCCTCAGATAAATCGCACAGAGCAATAGCAAGGGCAGTTTTACATTAGCACCAATAAATAAGCACCAATAAATCATTAGCACCAATGAATCTTCTGTTGAAGGAGTTCATTTGAAGACCTCTCACCTTCCTTCTGCCTTCCTAGGATAGAAGCCCATGAACGCTTTCTAGAATATTCTAGATGGGATGGGGGAAAAGTCAAGATTATGACCAGACTGATGCTTCTCTTTTCCTGTCCCTAGTGCAAAGGGTCCTGAACTCTAATCTTGAGGTAATAAAGTTGATGTTCTAGGCACAGGAAGAGCATAAGCAAAGATATGAGGGTAAAAAACAGCTAAAGTGTACAGAAAATGGACTACGCACCCTTTTGAGCAGCTGTAGATTGTGCCTGCTCCTAAACCATCATTGGCTTAAGTTCATCAAGACTTATCCTAAGGAGCCATACAGAGATGGTCTCCCCTGAAGCAGTTGACTGCCTGGTACCAGAGCAAAATCAGAGTTTTATTATCATGGGGGTATATCCGTATATGCACATAGCATAATTTGGTCAATTTTATTCCACTGTTCTCCCTCTTCTTGTCCCTCCTCCCTCCCCTCAATCCCCTTCCTCTGCTCCACCGATCTCTCTTCTATTTCCATACGATTTCCCCCACCCGCTTTTCTCCTTATTTTGGTCTGGCTTCCACATATGAAGCAAAGTGCTTATGAAAAAAATGTTTAAATAAATAAAATGCATACCCTTTGGTTATGAATACTGAAAGCTATCTTGGCTCTCTATTTGACTCATAGGGAGGTGAGCTAAAGAAAAGAGATTTAAATGGCTAGATTTTTAGCACTGATCTTCAAAGTCCCTCTGACATTTAAGGGATTCCTCTCTGGGAAGCTATTGTTTCAGAGCAAAAGGAACATCCTCGTTAAATGGCTCTACCATCTCCGGCCACCATGTTTTTCAGATCTGCCTCTGAAGAGCACCGCTGTGTGGAGACAGGAAGTCAAGAACCAATGGCCATTTATTTCACCAGCGGTACCACGGGCTCTCCGAAGATGGCTCAGCACTCTCACAGTAGCATTGGCATTGGGTACGCCGTGTGTGGAAGGTAGGAAGAAAAACTCAAAGCAAAACCTTTGCTTTTGATGAACTCTTCCCCAGAGCTGCCACAAGGTGCGTCCACTGTCTGATAAACAGTACCTCCCATACATAGAATGACTTCCGGTGCCCCGTCCCACCCTAGTTCAGTAAATGGTGCCATCTGACCCACAGATCAAGCAAGAACTTAAGAAGGAAGTGACTTTGATTCAATTCCCATAATGGCTCATTGGGCTCCCTCTCCTCATTGCCAGGTAATTCGCCCACCCAGAAAGGCCTTCCTTAAAAAAAATAAAATAAAATAAAACCCTCTAAAACTGTCACATTACCCTGCTTTATTTATGTCACAGCACTTATCACCACTTGAAATCATGGTATTTATTGCATACTTAATTACTTTATTGTTTGCTTATTCCCCTTCTTAGAGATTCAGTCTCTCTGGCTCACTGTGCTGCAAGAGTGCCAAGCACATGATATTTGCTTAATCAATATTTGTTGCTTCAATGGGTGAGCTCAGAAAAGCCTGCCAAAGCCAGGTCCCCACTCCAGGCACGGACTACCCAGGATTCCTGGAAAAGCCCACTGAGAAGAGTAGGAAATGGAACCCCTCGCCTTGAGTTGGGGCTTCCCTTGACCCCTTCTGTCTAGCCCATGAGGTTCTGGGGCATGGCCACTCCTCAGAGACACTCGTTTATTTGCTTTCCTGTTTTTGTTTTTGTTTGTACTGATTTATTTGGGGTCTGTTTTTTGTTGCCTCTCCGTATTGTTCAGATACTGGCTGGACTTGAAGTCCTCCGATGTCATATGGAACATGTCAGACACAGGCTGGATCAAGGCCGCCATCGGCAGCATGTTTTCTTCCTGGCTTTGGGGCGCCTGCGTCTTTGTGCATCGGATGGCCTCGTTTGACACCGACGCCTTCCTGGATGTGAGTCGGGGCCTCTCTTCCATGTCTCTTTAGAGCAACACCCCATCTTCTACTAAAAATATGATTCCTTGGAACACAGGGCTTCTGAAAGTCATTCCTTTCTCAGGGGCACACCCTCCTGGGACTCGGCTTTTGACAATGCATTGGACAGAGTGGAGGGGGTCACCCCGCCTCTCTCAAGGGGGAGACCCAGACTTAAGCTCAAATCGCTCAGGATTTCTAGTGTCACGAAATCTGTGACTGCTTAGGAGCCTGGTTTCAAATAACAGATTAGAAATCTCAAGATGAAACAAAGATTTTGTTTCTGGCTTAAAGAAACATAAGACAATAACTGATAAAGCCGAACTCCTGTGTGGAGGAGATTGCAGGGGGGACCATCTTTCTCCTAAAGCAGCTCCTTCCATTCTCCACCCCACCCACAATTAAATGCTTCTCTCTCTCTCTCTCTCTCTCTCTCTCTCTCTCTCTCTCTCTCTCTCTCTCTTTTATTTGTTGAATGCTTCTCATTTTAATTGGCAGACTCTTCTGGAAACCAGGTGTGCATTTCCATCTCAGCCAGACATGACTAGATTCAGATATCTGATAGCTTACCCTTTAGAAGACTGTGATTCAGACCAATTATATTTCATCCATGAAAAATCAATTAAGTTTGAAAAAGTACATATGAAATACACAGTACACCTTTGTTTGTTATCTGCAAACTGCTCTGACACGATGTCTCCAGGGCTGTGAGAGAAATACAAAGTAAAGAAGGGCTGAGATTTCTTTATCAGGTTTACAGAAGGCCCTGTAGATCAGTTCATTTTGTAGTCTCTAACTTATTTTGTAAAATAAGAGCATTTTTATTTTACAAAGATAATGTATTTTACAAAGATAATGTAAGTGCTACAAAAACCTCTATAAATTTATGCTTTTCTTAGATGTATACATTACACTTATTAAAAATTAAATCTAGTGGGGCTGGGGATGTAGCTTAGTTGGTAGAGTGCTTGCCTCGCATGCATAAGGCCCTGGGTTCGATGCCCTGCACTACAGGAAAAAAAAAATTAAATCTAGGGAACATATGGTAGAAATGCTCATTTTCAGCCCACAGGTAATTGTTGATCTATGACAATCCAGATAGCCTGTATATACATCTAGGGAGCCTTCTCCCAGATTCTTAAGCTTATTACAATTGTCAACACATTGATACAGTGAAACTTGTTCCTCCAGAAAGAGGATCTTGGAAACATTAATATTCCTTTAGATTTTAGATGCCTACGTCATTTAAGGAACTGGAGACAAAATGGGCCCATCAGATTTTAAACCATTAAACCATTAACAAAAGGCCTTGAAAAATGCCCATTTCTGCCTTGACTCAATCCACTTAAAAGGACTAATATTCTCTGTGGGAAAGGTGCTGGGGAGGTACCAGTGGGTCAGTCGGTACCACAAAGCAAGAACATATGGGCAGGGACGTTATGAGTTTCCACCATGAAAGGTAACACACAGCCCTTGGGTAAAACAGACCAGTTCTTACTTTGGGTTGTTTCCAAATTCAACAATTCAATTGTCAGTTGGGATGGTGTGTGTCTTGTCTGTCTCTGAAACACACACATACTCTTTTTATTTCTTTTGATTCTTATATATATATATTTATATTTGGTTGTGGGTGGTCACAATACCTTTATTTATTTATTTTTATGTGGTGCCTAGGATCGAACCCAGGGCCTCACACATGCTAGGCAACGCATTCTACCACTGAGCCACAACCCCAGCCATCCCAGATACACATTCTTAACAGTAATCAGAAATGCCCAACAGATACATGGTCACTAGTGACAACAAATACATATTTGGTTTCTTATTCCTAGAAGCAGCCGTGAGATGAGTTCATGCTGGTGGAAGAGACCACAAGCTGTAGGCCTCCCTTCTAGTCATGGCCTTTCGTGGACGGTTTCTAACATCTCTGTCTCTCTCCATTATCCAGACACTTGTCACTTACCCCATTACGACCATGTGCAGTGCCCCCACCGTGTACCGGATGCTTGTGCAGAAAGACCTCAAGAGGTACGTGGGCAGGAGTCTCCGTGTGAACCACAGAGAAGGCGTTCACCCAGCATCCCTGGCCTTCCCTTCTCAACACTCTTGTGTTCACATTTCAAGGACAATTCAAAGGCTGTTCCATGGTTCTTTTAAATACACACAGTTTGTGTCCTACCCACACCCTCCCAAACATTTGGGACCACCCTGTGTGAGAGACAGGCTGGTCCAGGGTTCCTCACCTGAGTCCAGTAAGGCCAGTGGTTAGAAGCTCAGCTCCAAAGTCAAACATGTTCTGCTATCATGGTGTGACCTCAGATACTCATGATGACCTTGCCAAGCCTCCATCAACTCCATCCAAAAGAGAGATTAAGCATCACCCTACCCCTCCCCCACTCCTGGGGCTGTGGTGAGAATTCACTGTAAGTGACATGCTTGGAGAGACGTGTGCTACATGTACCCTATAGAGCATGCACCTGATCCCTTATTATTCCAGAGTTCTTGGGCAAATTCTTTTTTTTTTTTTTTGGAGGGGTGGCAGGTACCGGGATTGAACTTAGGGGCATTTGTCCACTGAGCCATATCCCCGGCCTTATTTGTGTTTTCATTTAGAGACAGGGTCTCACTGAGTTGCTTAGCACCTTGCTATTGCTGAGGCTGGCTTTGAACTCACAATCCTCCCATCTCAGCCTCCCAAGGCCCCTGGGCTTGGGCAAATTCTTTAACCTTTCTAGTCTGTTTCCTCATCTGTAAAACAGAGTCTAAGAGGGCTCCTAAAGCCCTAACTGCTGTTAGTTGTTACATTGTCTCACAAATACTTATTTTTAGCATTTTTTTCTAGGCTTTTCCTTAATAGCTAAGTTCTCCCCGCCCCTGGCCACAGTGTAAGCTCCTTCAGGAGACTCTTCATCACTAATGGTCTGGCGACATGGCAGTCATTCAACAGACGTGGGTAGAGGGATCTTTTCCAAGACTTGCCTCCCTAGCTCTCCGGGTTGTTGCTTGAATGTCTTCCTTACCTCACTGTGAGAGTCACCCCTCTCTCTCCCCCAAGACTACCTCCAGCTCTTTCTCTTTAGGTACAAATTCAAGAAGCTGCGGCACTGTGTGACGGGAGGGGAGCCGCTCAACCCGGAGGTGATGGAACAGTGGAAGGCGCAAACTGGGCTGCAGCTGTACGAGGGCTACGGACAGACAGAAGTGGTATATTTAAGGGCAGAGTTTAAGTTCAATACAGTGGTGCCCCGGTATCGATGGGGAGTGTTTCCAGGACCCCAGAGGATAATACCGAAATCCTGGGATGCTCAGGTCCCTTTATATAAAATGGTGCAACATTTGCATCTAACCTACACATATCCTCCTGGACACTTCAAATCATCTTTAAATTTTAATATTACATATTAAAATTTAAAGATGATTTAAATTTAATATGATTTAAATTTCAATATGTAATACAAAATATAAATGCTACTTAAATGCCTGTTGTGCTGTACTGTTTAGGAAATAAAAAGGAGGAAGTGCCCATATTCACTACAGATGCAATTAAAAAACAAATATTTCCAATACTTGGATGGTGGAATCCAAAGATACAGAATCTGCAGATATGGACACTGGGATTTTTCAGTCCCAGGTCTGTCAACCTGAACACCTGAGGTGCCCCAATCCTGCTCTGAATTTTTATGTCATTTCCCAAAATAACTTACCTTGCCAGTAGTTATCAAAACTCGTGAATTTTCCTAATTTGGTTTGGACTTAGGGGAATTGCGATTGTTCTATAGTATTCCTGCTTCCTCTCCACCCAGGAGAAACTCAGGGGCTGCAGGGGTTGGTGAGGCTCAGAATGAGCTGCCCATCTTTCCATTGTTCTCTGTGGGAAATTTTCTCCAAGAGTCACATCATGGAGTCTTTTGAAGTGGTTTTTCAAAGTATGGTCCTCAAACCAGACTCACTGGCGTCGTCTGGGAATTTGTTAGAAAGGCAGATTTTCAGACCCTACCGCAAACGTGTGGGATCAGAAACTCTGGGATGAGCAAACTATGTTGTAATAACGTTCCAGGTGATTCCCAGGCCCACTCAGGTTGGATTCTGTTCTAAAGTAATATATTAGAAGATGAGAAGATGAGCTTGCCTGCTGGGGGAAATGAGTCAATATGGAATCTTGAGTTTCACGGTCATGAAACATGTAACTACAGAAAATCAAGTTTACATATTAATATACTGCATGTCTTCTCGATAGGGAATAATTTGTGCCAACGTGAAAGGACAAGAAATCAAACCAGGCTCCATGGGGAGAGGCGTCTTGCCCTACGATGTCCAGGTGGGTTGAGAAGTTATGGGGCTCCTGAGGAAGAGAGCTGTTTTGGCAGCTCCCTGCCCCTCCTTACACAGCTGTTCACAACCCATTGTCATTTTGTGAAAAGAAAAAATGTCAGAACCTGAACTGTTTGTTGTTGCGTTCTCAGATTATAGACGAAAACGGCAATGTCCTACCACCTGGCAAAGAGGGGGAAATTGCTCTCAGACTGAAGTCCACTCGGCCCTTCTGCTTCTTCTCTGAATATGTGGTATGAAAATGGAGAAATACAGACATGTGCAAATTTCCACCCAACACGTCTTGCTAGATTAAACGTGGGCGAGTGACAAATCCCCGTGTATTTTATCAACTGTAAACTGGAGAGAACCTCATCCATCTCCTAAGTGTCAAGGTTAAATTTCAGGTGTAAGAAACCAGGTGTAGTGGCTGTCCTCAGAAAGGACAGGCTGGGGGCAGGAGTGGGGACAGAGGGAGGCATCAGAAGGAAAAAGAGAGACTTTCCTTTTATTAAACTTTTTTGGAACTTTTGTATTTTATGCTGGAAACTATTTTTTAAGAAAAAAAAAAAAACACATTTCTTTAGAAGTAGAATGTGTACTGTGCCAGTCATTTAATGGGTGCCATGTCCCTGTCTGTTTTGTGCAAACTAATTCCCAAATGACACTTTTGATTCCTAGAACAACCCAGAGAAAACTGCTGCCACCTTAAGAGGAAATTTTTATGTCACCGGAGACAGAGGCATGAAGGACAGTGATGGGTACTTCTGGTTTGTGGGCAGAGCTGATGATGTCATCATATCCTCTGGGTTTGTACCTTTGCCACTCGCAGGAAGTGACGAGTCGATTCGTCGGGGAGGGCAATCCGCTGGGAGAGCACAGCACCCAAGTTTTCTTTTCCTCGGCAGGTACCGCATTGGGCCCTTCGAGGTGGAGAGCGCACTCATAGAGCACCCTGCGGTGGTGGAGTCGGCCGTGGTCAGCAGTCCAGATCCGATCAGGGGAGAGGTAGAGCCAACGCCATTCATTGCAGCTGCAATTTCGTATTTCAACTTCTGTGCATTTGACCACAGCGAAGACTAAATCAAGAGTGGTCGTTTATAGGGCATACATGTGGCCAAAAATTTTAAAATAGTGTAGTAGGCAATCAACTTTACAAATGAGCTATGTCCCAAAGAGGATTAGGATTTTCTCTCTTTTTTTTTTTCTTTTTCTTTTTTGGTACCAGAGATTGAACTCAGGGTCACTCAGCCCCTGAGTCACATCCCCAGCCCTAGTTTTTGTATATTAGTTAGAGACAGGGTCTCACTGAGTGCTTAGCACCTCGCATTTTGCTGAGGCTGGCTTTGAACTCTCGATCCTTCTGCCTCAGCCTCCCAAGAAGGTGGGATTACAGGCGTGGGCCACTGCTCCTGGTTGAAGATTAGGATTCTCTAGGTGGCACGGGACAGAAATTCAACTCAAACTGATTTCAGTTATAAATAATAATAACAATAATAATAATTTGGGGGGCTCACACAAACAAATATTCAGGAGCAGATATAGCCAAGCATTCAGTGAAGTTAGCGTGACAGTCTCTCTCCATGTCTGGCTCTGTTGTTGCTTAAGTTGGCACCATTTGAACACTTTGGTGGATAACAACCAACTCCAGGCTCCTGTGGCTTAACAATCCTCCCCACTCTTCCAGGAAAGGACAAAAGTTCGTTTCAACTGTTTCAAGTAACTTCCACGATCTCATTTGCCCATCTTAGATCACATCTCCAGCCAATGTGGTCTAGAGAATGATAGAGGCCACTGGCCAGGCCGGGGTCACATGCCTGTCATCAGACATGAGGGCTAGTACCAACCCCACCAGGGAGAAGTTAGGGTAATGCTCCATAGGAAATTACAAGCACTGTTACTAAAAACGGGGAACAGAGGGTACATAAACAAAAGCAATAGACTTCAGTCTGTAAAATTGTCAGGGAGCTCAAAATACCGTTTCTTACAGAAAAGATACAAATAGATTGCGGCCAGACTCCAAATAAGTCCCATGGCCTTTTAGGGTCTAATGAAAGATTACTAAGGCAATGACGGTAATAACCTTAGTTCTAGGAGGAAGCCTTATAACATGAAAGGAGAATTTCCATTCCTCATGAAAGTTTCCAGACTCAGCAAGTGGGGGAAAAAAATCCCCAAATAGTGTGCCTATCAGCATCCTTCCACAGCTTTCTGTTCCTCCCTCTCTCCTGCCAGAGACCCTCTGCAGGAACATGGGATCCTGTGCCCCTACTGCCTGGACCCCCTCCACTATCATCTAATCACATTTTCCAAAATAGTCTCCTCTTGATTTCAGGACACCAAAAGTATATACCTATTAGAATCCATGTATGAATAACATTTGAAGTAGGCTTGCTAACTCAGTAATGATCTAATTGCTCTAAAGAGAGGCAAAACAGAGGAGGCAAGAAACACCTTAGAGGCATTTGTGGTCAAATGCACATTACTGACACATCATCCTTCCTCCCTTAGGGGTCCCCAACACCCCTTCAAACCATATTCTCCAGACCCTCTATTTGTCCTGCAACAACATGTTTCTTTTATAGACTTGTTGGCGTAAGGGGTCATCTGTCAATCAATGATGTCTGTTTAGTTACACAGGTCAAGGGAAATGTTAAATATGTAAACAGAACGCAGCCATAAAAGCATCACTGCACCCCTCACTCACAACTCATTTACCTGGAAATAGCTATCAAACTTTATAATTGTGTACAAGCTCTGTTCAGAGGTGACTGAACTTATCACGGGTTGCTATTAACAGTGCCTACCTTCAGCCCTCGACTTGTCTGAAAAACAAAGATGGCGATGTAAATTTTTTTTTTTTTTTTTGCCTGCAGGTGGTGAAAGCTTTTATTGTCTTATCTGCACCTTTCAAATCCTCCAACCCTGAGAAATTAACTCTGGAGCTTCAGGATCATGTGAAAAAATCAACTGCACCTTACAAATATCCAAGAAAGGCAAGTACACCTTTGGGTTACCAAACTAGGGTCTAAGCAGGTCTATAGATTTTACTGGATTTTGACTTAATAGTATACTTTTTCAGTTTAGCCTGAGAATTTCGCTTTAAAATGTTACATATCAGGGCACTACAAATATGTGATAAACTAGGTTTAAAAAAAAAAAAAAACTTCTGAAATACAGAGTAAGAATCCTTATGTAACTAATTAATTCTTAGTTCTATTCCATATGGGGAGGAGAATAGAGGCAGTATCTGCCAAAGTGACTTATTTTTAGGGATGGCACCTGATTCTTCTTGGTTCTCTTGGCCTAATAGGCCTATAAATTCAAAGTGCATGCCTGAAAGTATCAAGTGACCTCATTTAAGGCTCATGAAGATAGTATCCAAAGGAAGGATCTTCCCTGAAACCTTCTTCAAGAGAGGACTCAAAAACAATCCTAAGTACAGACAGAACTGCAGTTTCCTTCCTGCCCTGGAGGCCTACTGCTTGATATGGACTAATCCTCTCTGAATCAATTCCACTTCAGTTGCCACTTGAGCCAAAAGGAAGTTAATTTCAACCCAATAACTAATCAACCATTTTAACACTTTCTCCAATAAACTAAACCCTTTGATTTTCAGAAATGAGGGTTGATGACATTTTAAAATACATCTTTTTTTTTCCCCCCATTATCTTACTTTGAAGGGAACAGACAGCACTTTATGGTCAAGTCTAGAGAGGAAACAAAGGGGCAAAAGGAGTTACTTTCTTCTGGCAGAGCCCATAGTGAATTTACCCTAAACAACAGTAAGAGGCAGCTGCCCTGTGGTCCTTACTATCTGAACAGACCAGTTTCTGGTGCCCACAAAATGCAATGAGCTCAGGTTAAGAACATCTCCAGAGCTAAAATTCAGCCTCTGAGTTTCATGAGCCTTCTCTCCTATTACACTGACAGCTGGGATAAGCCAATGGAATTAAGTGTCTCATAATATGCCTGTCAATTAGGTGGAATTTGTTCAAGAACTCCCAAAGACAATCACTGGAAAAATCAAGCGCAACGTTCTAAGAGACCAAGAATGGGGACGAAGGTAGCTTGATAAGAAAACTGAAGGATTTAAGGGTAACTTGAAGCTCTCCTTTAGTACTTCCTGATAAATTCTGATTACTTTCTTAAAATGTATAAGATTTTTCCTGGTTGAAAACTCATCTGAATTTTTGTTTTGCACTTAGCCAAAAAATAAAGCAGCAAATAAATATCTAAACATATTTGAGAAGAATATTATTATGACCTAACCAACAAAGGTAATGATTTGTAGTGTTTAAAATAGCAGAGGTAAAATGATTACTCTGAAAAGCATAGCACACAATAAATGTTTCATTTATCTTGTCATGCTTAATTAAAGAATAATTCTAAGAAAAATGTTCAAGTCAGAATTTCTTCTGCATAGCATCTTTATGAGATTAATATCCGAAGACAAAATACCTGAAACTTTGATTATTTAGGAAATTTGAGGGGTGAGAGTATTGGGAATTGAACTCAGGGGCACTTAGCGACATCCCCGGCCCTATTTTGTATTTTATTTAGAGACAGGGTCTCACTGAGTTGCTCAGCACCTTTATTGCTGAAGCTAGCTCTGAACTCATGATCCTCCTGTCTCAGCCTCCTGAGTTGCTGGAATTACAGGCCTGTGCTGAGAGTATTTAATCTAGAGCAACTAAAAATTTTTTCTATCTTTACGTTTTAGAACCATGTATATGATTTTTTTGATACATTATTTGACATGCAAATATTTTTTGTGATATGAATACTATGAAACGAGATTGTATTACTAAGAGGTAGAAAGGAAGAAAAAGTACAGAACACCAATCTTTACGGAACAAATTTATTTTGATTCTTTTTTTTGGGAAAATACAAGAAACTATGAAAAACAAGCTGAATATCTGGCTATACAAAAAGCAAAACACAAGTAAAACTAACATTTGAAAATTGTGTTTTTAAGTTTTGAGAAACATATTTTAAAATGCCAATTTTAATTCTTTTTTCACCAGAGCAAAAGAGTTCATTAAACCACAAGAATGTTTTTAACTGCTGTAATTTTTTAAAATTTAAAAGAAAAATAAAGGAAAGCATTCAATTCCACCCTGGAATCTCATCATTTGTAACAAGATGCTCAAATGTCAGTGAAAATAAACAGATGTTAACCTGAAAGCAAAAGCTGTCAATGGATGAATTTAGACCCCAACAGAACATGGTATTGTACAGTTGGGGAAGAACAGTTTATGTGACACTCAGATCTTATCAAATACAAATAAACACAAAAAGTGACTAGACCTAAACTATAAAATTCTTTTGTAAAGTAGCAGCTTCACAAAGCAAAAGGAACCAGTTAGTGCCACAGAGTTCTATGTTCTGTAGCTGTATGGCCAACTTATTCCCAGAGTCCCTTTATTTTGTGCTATCAAAAGTATCTTTATCTTGGAGCAAGTCCACTGAAGAAGGCACCAGGATCCTATCCTCCCTGTTCCCCCAAACAACACTGACAGCACTCATCCTTCCAAGAAGACCTCAGCCTCATTAACATTCTAAACATCTGAAGATACCTACCACCCCACCTGTCAGCAAGGTCTTGCCCACCCTCTCTGTCCCTCCCACATCCTCCTAATCTGGTTTATCACAAAGAGCTCTAAGGGTACACGCGCATTCCCACGGTGACTAGCTATTACACAGGCAGACACTCATACAGGGAGTTTTCACTTATGCTACTACCAAACTTTCTTAAATTGAAAAAGAATAGTCCCTTAATGTTCTCAATCTACACAATTTATATTATACTGCTCCTAAGTGTCTTCCAGCCTTTTTCAATCACTTTACCTGGGAGGGACCCTTGAAGACATTTTCAAATTCAGGTAACCCCTGCAGGAATACCTCATGGCATGAGTGTGAGCACTAAGTTGAAGGATGCTCTTATTTCAAACAAGTCCTGAGCTGAAAGACCAGAGTGGAGTTCTTTCTCTTCCTTCAGAGTGGAAACAGGAGAAGAAACACTACTTACTTTGGTTTTGCATTCCTTCCAGGCAGAAGACTTGTAATGTTTGCATTCTTCATTATGAAGTACAAGTTGCTGAGAAACATTTCAAGAGTTCCTTTGGCAACTCTTTAAAATTACTTTTCCAGAGTTAAGTTTCCTTCTAAATCTTAGATTCTTATCACTTTAAGAAAAAACTTTTTCTCTAGGATCTTGCAGAAACTTTTTCATTACTTATGCAATAGCAATTTCTGCTAAATAGGCTGCTTTCTACTGCCATTCTTCATTTTGAAAGCACTCAGCAAGTCCTGCCCTATTTTCTTGTAAGTGCCGTAGTAATTCACTTTTCCACTCAAACATTCTTTACGAACTCTTCTTCTGATAAGCCACCAGGTATCTGTAGGTTGTATAAGATACATGTGCTCTTTGTCCCAAGTTTTAGTTGGGGATTTGCTTAACATTCTTGGCATAAATGAATCTTTAATAATAAATTAACCATTTTTGTAGCATTATTGAGAATTTTCTTCATCTCCACGTTGTTGATATCAGCACCTCAGTGAAGAAAGCAGTGTGCTGTATTGCCAACATCACGGAGCCAAGCACCAAACATGGGGCACTAGTACAGATGACAGACCTTCGTTTTTTTTAGGTACAATGATATAAAGATATATTGGCCTTTGTTTTAAGAGACTTCTAGCAGCAGGGAAAAAAAAGGTTCATTTATTTTATCATCATTTAGAAATCTTATAAATGCTACAGCAAAACAAATATTTGTGAAATCTGATGACTCAACCCAGGTAGAGGTTGCTATTTCTCAGTTAACTACACAAAACCTCTTTACCTCATGCAACATATCACTAAAAACTGAGAGAAAAGTCATTTCTATTTCTTATACTTGCCCCAGCACTGAAATGTTGATAATGTTAGATTTTCACCAACTACATAATTTTTTCTTTTCTGGGATACAGTCTACTAAATAATTTACTTCACTGAGTGTGATTTTTTTTTAAAACAAAAGTTTTACTGTTTTTGATATTCCAAAAGCTATTAAACTAACCGATATCCTTGTCAAATGATTTAGTTACAACTGCTGGAGTTAACTGCTAGTAAGATGCATGCCACAGACAATGCCCACTGCGCAGGACAGCTTGGCTCACAGATCCATATCAAACCCTGGAGGAGGAGCTTTCACTGGAATGACAGAATCTCTTTGTTTGGCTGTTGTACTAGGAGATTATGATTCCTTATCACCAACTTTATCAGAAATGTCTGTAGGTATAGGCCTGGAATGGTCCTCTTCTATCTCACCACCTTGCCTTCAAAAACTGCAGCAATGACCATAATACTTGTTCACAGCAAGCAAACATTATTCAAAGATAAAAATGACATAATAACTAAACAAGAAAGACAAAACTATAAAACAATCACAAAACAATTCACTTCTAATCTACAAAATCCACATTTTTGCAATGTTTAGAACAAAATGGCAGGGGATAGCTTAGTTGTGGTACAAAAAAAATTCCTTGCTTAGAAGGAAAACTTCCCTCTGATTTCTGTTTCTCAGAGCATATTCACTCCATAAAACAACTGGCAGTGCATATGGGGAGGCTGGGGAAGAGAAGAAGGGAGGAGCCCACACCTTTCTCCCACCCCCTCCCTGTGTGACAGCAGGTGGGCCCATACTCACACCAAGGGGGCTGAAAGTGCTCTGACAAAACTGCTAACAGGGCTGAGGGGTCACTGTTGATACTGTGAGATTAGCACTCTGCAGCACAACATCAAATATTATAATTTCACATGGAACCCTGTTAGCATCTCACAGAACCTCACTGAGAAACCCACCTCCTCCTACGAGTGGTCATTTTCATTTGACTTGGATCCTCCCATGACTTGATCAGCAAGTTCAGGTTGAGCTCCTTCCTCATTCACCACTTGTGACTCAGGCTTGGGTTTTGTTTGCCCTGGCTCCTCGTTATTCTCTGGTACCACCTGCTGGTTATTTTTCCCTTCTGAGGAGTCATTTTGATTTAATTTGACATCAGATTCCAATTTCACTTCTTTCCCATTTCCTAGCTTTGGGTGAGGCTGGGATGGGTCTTTAGCACTCTTCACCACCTCCTGGAGATTATACTTTCTGAACAACATGTAATCTTTCACAACACTCAGGCAACAGACAGCTTTGATGATTTCTACTACCACCGTGTACTGGGGATTGGTGAGATCCACTTTATTTTCTGAATTAAGGCTGCCCACTATTCCTGTAATAAAAATAGGAACAACATTTAGATTGAGAGGGATACCACTAAGCTTGATGGATATAAACAAATTCTCATTCCTTTCTGTTGGGGATTTGTTAAACACAATATGTACTAGTCCATTCTTCTAGGTGAACCTGAATCAAATACCCTGAATCCTTTCAATAAATAAATTTGAATGAAGTTCTGAGACATTTAATTTTAAAACATACAATTGGCCCTCTATATCCATGGGCCTGGCATCCACAGATTCAACCAACCTTAGTTCAAAAACTTTGGGAAAAAACTGCATCTGTGCCGAACACATAGACTTTTTTATTGTTATTATTTTCTCCTTATAGATAATAACGGTTTATATGTTTATGTTGAATTAGGTATTCTAAGTAATCTAGAGATGACTTAAAAGTATATGGAAGATGTGCACAGGTTGTATGCAAACACTACATCTTTATAAGGGACTTGGGCATCCACACTTTGGTATCCGTAGGGAATCCTTGAAACAATCTTCCAAGGGTAGGTAAAGACAAATATACTTTTTTCCAAAAGAAAATTCCAAACCTCAATTTGGAAAGGAGTACCAGAAAATCTCATATTTAATTTACTGAAATAGGTTTAATATTTTATTATACTTGATTTACACTGAAAAAAGTAAACCTTATATGTTAAAATAGAAGCCCTTGCTGGTGCGTAGGCACATGCCTGTAATCCCAGCGGCTTGGGAAGCTGAGAGAGGAGGATCACAAATTCATAGCCAGCCTTATCAAAAAGCAAGGCACTGACCAACTCAGTGAGACCCTATCTCTAAATAAAATATGATATAGGGTTGAGGATGTGGTATAGTGGTTAGGTGCCCCTGGGTTCAATCCTGGTACCAAAGAAAAAGAAATCCTTAAACAAGTGTTTACCACTGCATATCCATATAAAATCAGTAAGAGAAACATACCTGCCAGCTCTTTGATAACTTCTTCTCTATTCATGTGACTGTTATTTCGAGATTTGTAAACAATCTGAAATGTCCCTTTGTTTGGAGCTTTAAACCAGGGTTCCAAAAATGTTTCTGCATACTTTTTCATATCTTCTAAGAAAGCTTTGCACGTGCCTGAGATGGGTAACATTCGTAGAATAACTCGAGTCTTCTTTTTCTTGGTTTTGTACATATCCTGGAGAATATGATGCACCAATTTCTCAGGTTCTACAATAAAACAAAAGAAATCAGCACAGAACAAACAAGTTTTTCCAACTAGTATTTCTTCAGTGCCTACATTATAGCTGATATTTTAACATTTCATCATTACTGCTTTTGTTAAAAGTAATTATTCATGTAGATTCTGGAGTTAATGTTTTTAATGCCCCAATTTATCCAACTACAATACCCTACTATTGTTTTCCTATAACAATAGCACTATCAGAGTAACCAACATTAAACAGTAAATACTTTTTTACAAAAACAAAAAAGTGCAAGTCACTTAAAAAGATTCGACTAATATATCAACTAATGAGTACACAAGTCTAGATCTCAGATCTGGGAAGACAGACTCTCTGAATGCTACAGTGCATTGTCATGAAATGGTGGTCCTCAGGCTATACACAGTCTCTTTGGGAATGCTCAGTGTTTTCCATATTTTTTAAATTAGCTGACCACATTTTAAAATCTAAGAACTTCTCCAGATTTCCTTCATAAAATCTGGCTCTAATTCCCCAAAAGGCAACCATTGGCTAGAGCTGGGTAGCAACTGCCCCCTGCAGTCAGAACATGCACTTTCCTTCTGCCTAAAGTTACATACAAAGGAAATGGGGCAAAGCCAGTTTCCACTCCTAAGCTAATGCTAATGAGCACCTCCTCATTCTACCTCTCTCTGTTCCTACTGCTAATATGGTCTACAAAGTTTGCAATAAAATGATTACAAGAGCCATGCCCATGAAGCCATTTAATAGGCAGTGTTTTCTGACAAAGAGAGCTATCCAAATACTGTAGGATCAATGACGTTAGGGGTTTAGACACACCTATCCCAAGTGTTCTGATGAAGACTACATTATTCGCTCCACTCTCCATTGACTGGAATCTTCTTAGCCTCATCTCTGTAGAAGCTTTAATGTCACCAACTTCTTTCTTCAAGGCAGCTTCCACATCATCATCCTCTCCCTCACTTCCAGAGGGCTGCTGATCCTTATCTGTAAACTGTTCACATGAAACCAATAGGCAGAAATGACACAACAGCTCATGTTTAAACACTATAATTAAATATTTATGTGAAACTCCTGGAGGCAGATGGCTTAATGTTGACAGTCAAGTATTTTAAGACTGAGCAAACACTCCCTCCAAACTCTGAGGGAAGAAGGGAGTGCCCTCACATTGTGGTAGCATTTGAAAATGTTTTCAAAAGCACCTTGACAGTCTGGCAGAGGAAACTGTGCTCATCAGATGAAGCCCATCAGGGTGGACCTTAACACCATCTCTAAATTTAATCTTCGTGCCTGACTCTTCTGTCGGTAAGATCAGAACGAAATAGTTAACAGAATTAAGGAACCCTTACTCCTGTTCTACTGAGGAAAAGGACAGAGTTTTTGAGAACTTGATCAAGGTACCAGTATAGATAGGGCAGACATTCACCTGTTGCCCAGTTCTCTGCCCTAACAATGACAGCACCAATCAAACACTAATCGTGCACATTTAAGGAAACTGTATATATCCAGAATATACTTTGTGTACATAAGCAACTTTCTAGCCAACCAAAGTACCTATCATTTCTTAAATATAACTCAGCCATATTAAATACTGTACCTATGCCCAGGTCCCAGAGCTAGAAAACAATAAGGCCCTCTGTACTATTCTTCTTCACTTTATTCCTCAGGGTATGTATGTGAATACTGATACAAATTCTAAGCCAAAAATATATCATGACACCCACAATGTGATGGGGTAGTGAAATTTCAAGTGGTACTGGTTGGAAAAAAAAAAAAAAAAAGTAGCCAGGTGCAGTGGCACAGCCCTGTAATCCCAGCGGCTTGGGAGGCCCAGGCAGGAGGATCTCGAATTCAAGGGCAGCCTCAGCAAATTAGTGAAGCTTTAAGCAACTTAACGAGATGTGTGGCTCAGTGGTTAAATGTCCCTGAATTCAATCCCCAATACGGAAAAAAAAATGTCCTTTTTAAATGTATTTTATGTGCATTTGGTTAATAACTAGCATTAATACAAACCCACTATTTTACAGATAATAGCATGGCTTAGGGCAAATGCATTATTACAGACCACTTCACAAAGCTGTCGTGTAAAGAACATCTTTTGGCCTGCAGGAAGCACTCAATAAATGGGAGGTACTGTAATTAAAGATGGAAAGAAAATCACAAGATGACAGACTGCACGTCAGGCCAGACACCCACTGGCCAGGAGTCTGCAGGAGAGGGGAGGGCGCAGGGCCGGGGACAGGCGAGAGCGCGGGGTCCAGGCGAGGCCACGCCCCCGCCGCCCAGCGCACGCGGCAAGTCGCGCGCACGCGTACAAAGGCAGCCGACCTTCCAACGTCCCTCCTCCCACAGGCCGGCAGGCCGGCTCGCCAGCACCAGACCGGTACCTTTTCGGGCCCGTACATGTCGTCGCCGTATTCGTTGAGCAGGCTGTAGGCCTCCTCCACGCACTTGCGCTCGTTCATGTTGCACGTGATGAGGATGCCCTGCAGCCCGGGCTCCAGCTGCCGCGGCCCGCCGGCGTCGCAGCGCCGAGCCCGCTTGGCCTGCACGTATTGAGCCTTTCCTTTGCGCTTCCCGCCGCTGGGCTGAGGGGGCTGCTGGACGGGATCCGCCATGGCGCGTGCGAGCCGAAGCAGAGAGAAACGCGTTTCTCCTGGTTTCCTGGCGTCCTCGCTTTTGCCGGCGCGAGCCGATGACGTCAAGTGTGCGCCACGACGTCTGCCCACCTCCAGACCTTCCGTGCTGCGCCGGGTCCTAAAAGCCTCCCGATCGTTCTGTCAACTGTCCAAAAGTCTTCCAGTAAATTTCATTTCCACCCAAATTTGCCAGAATACGTTTCTTTTAGCCTACAACCAAGAATGTTGAGTGTTTTACACACTGCTTTCTCTCGTCCTTTTAGCCCAGTCTCAGCAACAGTCTTGGTAACTGTATTACCTTCTTTAAATTATTGAAAAGATGCCACTTTTGATGAATGTGTTCAGGAGTGAATGTTTGCCACATTTGCCCAAACTATTCTTCTGGCGCAAAGTTTTAACAGACTAGAGCTCCTACAAAATCCTAAAAGAGACAACCTGGTGAAAGGGCACTGCACTCACTGCCAACCAACCTTTGGTTCCAAACCCAGATCCACCACTATTTACAAAAGTATTAATGAATGATACGAAAAATAACAACCCTCTCCCCCCCTCCCCCAGGGAAAAGGCAAAATAATGGGCTCTGGACTCAGGACTTCCACCCTTTCCCAGCAACAATGGGTTTGGCACTTGCAACTGTTAACGCTGACTTGAGCTTTGAATTTGCACAACTGTTACCCTTGACTACCTAACCAAGGCATTTTTTGCCATGATTCAAATCTCACTTGTTAAGATTCCAATGATGAACCCAGCCTAATCCCACCTTAAGATTGGGAGCCATCTCCAGTTTTCTTCAAATTGGAGTTGGTGATCTTAGCATCATGGTTCAATACTCATCTCACTTAAACCCTAAAAATATCAGACCCCACTTGTAATCAATCACCCTTTTCTCTCCTGAAACTGTGCCATTCCATTGCTTAATAAAGAAAGCTTGATGATCTATTGTGGTCTGTTCCCTGTTTCTGTTATTTTTGCTTTAAATGACCATCCTGCTTTTTGTTTCCACTTGTACATGCAGCACAGCTTTTACTTTGTGTCATTTCATTGGTGGAGGTTGCATAGTATAGGCTTCTGGAGGTCTTCAGTTGCTTGTGAAGAATAGTCTTATTACACTGCAATGGATTTGGTGTTAGGAGGTATAAGAGAGTTACCTGAAACTCTAGTTTCTCTTTTTCATCCTCAGCACCTAGCATAGTGCATTGTCCTTAGTAAGCACTTAGAAAATGTTTTAATTGAATTCAACCTGAAAAAAATGGCCAATAAAGAAAAAAGGAGAGGATTTACGCCATTAAGAGGGAAAGTAGGCACCATCTTGATCCCGCTGAACCATACCAGAGGAGCTGAAAAAGGGCACTTGTTTTTCCCCACATTTATCCCTATTCTGGCTGGATTTCCGTTTCCAACCCACTTTCCCTGTCCTTAGGATAGTAGGGGTTAAACTATAGATGAAGAGTTAAGATGCATAGTTTGAGTCCCAAGCATATAAAAGTACTGCCTGCTAAAGTGGTAAATCAGGAGGCAAACTTAAAAAAATAAAAATAAAAACATTTTTTCATGGATGCTGACTGTGCCAGAAATATCTCAGTTAGCTGCTTAGTCCCTCGGTCTGTATTAGGATTATATGTATATATCCCCCACCCCTCTTCCTAGGGTAACTGCAAATGATGCTTTCCTTCACCCCCTTCCCTGAAGCAGGCTCTTATTCCAGCTCCAAATAACTCAGCGTTTGTTATTCTTGATTGCCCCTCATGACTAGGTCATTATTTCACTGAGAGATTTCCTTGGTAATGTTGGACCAATTTGTGTAAACTTCCTACTTATGTGAATTTCACTTCCTTAGATTACCTACCAGTCACAAAAAAACAGCAGAGTGTCTATGATTATGTTGCCAAAAGCTGGGTCCTTGTCCCCAATGCCTATCCAATAATGAGGACATGGTTTTGAGAAAAAGGAAAAGAAGGTTTATTGCTTTGCTAGCAAAGGTGAAACAGAGGGGACTCCCAAAGGTTGTGATTCTGCCCATCAGCAGGAACAGGGGGCTTTTACAGAGGTGATTCAGAGAAAATGAGATTAGAGAGGAGAGATCACAAAGGAGAAGATTAGGGAAAAGAAGATCATGGAGGAGAAGGTTGGGAAAAAGAAAAAAAAACATGTAAGTTTCAAAGCCACAAGGAATATAGTCAAAGCATCAAGTGAATTCCTGTTATATAATAAGAATTTAGGTCAAAGGGCTGGGGTTGTAGCTCAGTGGTAGAGCATTTGCCCAGCACATATGAGGCACTGGGTTCGATACTCAGCACCACATAAAAATAAATAAATTAATTAAATAAAGGTATTGTGTCCATCTACAACTAGAAAAAAATGTTAAGAAAATTTTAGGTCAAATTTACTGTTCAATCTATGTGTACTTAAAAAAATGGCTATTTGGGCCAGGAGCAGCGGCACACGCCTATAATCTCCGCAGCTCAGGAGGCTGAGGCAGGAGGATTTCGAGTTCAAACCAGCCTCAGCAACTTACTGAGGCTCTGGGGAACTCAGCAAGTCAGGGATACTCTGTCTCTAATAAATATTAAAACTGTCTGGGGATGTGGCTCAGTGATTAAGTGCCCTTGGGTTCAATCCCTGTTACAAAAAAAAAAAAAAATGTTATTTGGGTGTTTGATTTTGACTTACAGAGGTCTGTTTGGGGGGATACTAGTATCATCCCAAATTTAATCCCCTAAATTCATTATCTGTCTCCTAATCTCTTATTTTAATGGTCCTTTGATATGTGTGATTTATTGAAAGATTAAAAAAAAAAAACCTCACCCATCAGCCTGAACTTCCCTGTTGGAACCTAGCTCTGAGCCCACATGAGCTGGGTCTGGCCTTTGGCCTGGTTCTTGTGCTTTACGAGCTACTGCCCTGCCCCGCTGGGTGTCCAGAACCCCTAATCCCTGCCACCTCCAGTTTGTTTCATTTCACCACTTTGCAGTGTCCCACTGTTGACAGGTATGCTTCTCTGAGGCCCACGTGGGATTTTGTAGGTCTAGGTTCTTGAGGCCAAAAGTGAATGAATCTCTCCAGTTTTCTCCATTTTTATATTCTACCTGTACAGGTATGAGTCTTCATAAAACTTTTCCTGGTGTTCTATGGGTACATCTTTCCCACCCATTTGAGGTTTGGTTAAATAATCTATGCTTAAATGTTTTTGAAAGCTTCTAGATTATCCTCCTGGCTTCTGACTTCTACTTCACCCAATGCTCTAAGGACTGAATCTCCAGTGGCAGAATCTCAGTTCAGTAAGTCAGAGAAAAACATTTCTGTTTACAACTCAAATCATATGGAATGCAGAATCTCCAATCCATAACCCTGATGTTGAATAAACACTAACTTAAAGTAGATACATGTTCAAGAGTCCATGGTAACTGGAGTTTAGAGGCTTTTTTGGCACAGATTAAATCTTAAAAAAGAATAGACTATGTGTTCTCAGGATGTTTGATTTATGTTTAAACTAAAAGTTGGAGAAAAGCCAATGAGAATGTAGTATTTAATGTATAGATGAACACAAAGACTAGAATATAATCGAGTCAGACAGTCCTGGATGTAAATATGAGTGCTTCAAATATGAGTGCATCACTTTGCTGGCTTTATGACCTTAGGCAAGTAAACCATTCTAAACCCTCATGCTCCTCATCTGTAAAATGAGAATAGCTGTAACATATATACCTTATAGGTCACTGTGAGTGTGGAAGAAAAGAATTCAAGTTAATTACACATACAAATATTCAATCAATATTAGCTGTTATGGCTTTGTGGTAGATATTGGCAATTGGGAAGTTTGATGGCTATGATTTTTTAAGAAGCTGAGATTAAGACAAGCTTTTAATGTTGGTCAGTTTGCTTTGAAGTGTTTCCAGCCACTCCTAATGGCTTCTCAGTCCCCACTGGACTCCTTATTGTATCTAAATGTGTTAACATGGAAAGATCTACAAGATACAATGCAAAATGGGGCAGGGAGGAATCTAGGTGAGATACATGTAGTATGAACCCTTTAGTGTTTTAAAAGGGAATAACGCACATATGTACGTGTATATTTTAATCATACATATATATACACATATGCATATATATTGTTAGCCTGTTAACATAACTGTGGGTTAATTAAGAAAGTTAAGTCAAACTAACTCCATTCTGCCTGACACCTCACCCTGGTTCCCTTCCCAGAGGCTAACATCTCCAACCACCTGCACCACAGCGCACACAGGGGCCTGCCAATTCCAGGAGCTGGTGGCACTGTGCCTGCTCCTTCTGTCCCCTCCCCTTTGTGGTTGTTGAGATTTTGAAGCTTGTTCTCCACCTGCAATAGCAAGGGCTAAGCCCACCCCCAATACATAACCCAGGCTCTGACTTACAAAAGTGTACTTCAGAGGAGGTCTGCGCTGTTCTGCCTGCACAGAGGTAGCCTTGGCAGATTTCCTGACAATAAACTTGCTTCTGCTTAGCTTCAGTGTGTCCAGGTGATTTTAGTCCTGTGCCAATTTTCTAACATATATGATTTAATGAAACTTGTATTTCTTCATAGTTCCTGACTAAAGCCCAAAGCTAAGGATTGAGAGGTACTAAGCCTCTGCCCTTGACATTCTAAAGAGAATTATGAGAGGCAGCTCTCCAAGTTTGCAAAAAGGTGGCTCAACTGGTCCTGCTACCCTGATTAATCCCCAGACGCAGCAGTCTGCTTTTCTACTTAATTAAGAAGCTGGAGAGAAGACAGAGAAGACTTTGCGGGGGCCAACAAGGGGACCCCTCATAAAAGTTAGAGATGGCTGCAGGAAGAAGCTGACTTCACACTCCTTGGTTAATAACCCCCTCTGTCCTGTAGAGGACAACAGAAGAGAGGTCTGCAACCCGATAGGATATTCCAAAGATATGTGAATATCTGGTGCTTCACAGGGATCCCCTACAAGCTATCTGGGCTTGAACAGGTAGACTTCACAGTCAGGATTAAAGTCACAGCCAGTGAGTATGCCCCCTTATCCTAATCTCTTTCCTTTACCCTCAACAGGGGAGGATCTAGAGCTTAGCAGAAGGAATAGGA